CCAGCAGCTGGGGAGGGAGGGGAAAAGGAAGGAATGGGCCGGCTGCTGGCCCGAGCCTTGGCGGGACGTGATGACCACAACCAAGCAATCAATACGAGCAAGCATAGCCAAGAGAGGGGGCACACCCGCGTGCGGGCGGTGGCAACACGGCCGCGCAGTCGTGGCGCCATTAATGGTGAACGAGAAGCAGCGGCCTCGGCAAGGCCACGTGCGCTAAACCGAGACGACATCGATGCAGAATGTAGGCGGACGCGACGGTGATAGCGCGGCGTAGTAGGGCGATGGGACAGCGGTGGCACAGCTGCTCAGGCGGACGCGACGCTGCGGCGCGACGGTGACCTAGTGAGGCAAGCGACCAGACGGCAGCAGACTTGCCAGGCGCGGCGCGGGAGTGCGCGTGCAACACATGCCTGGGCGCGGCAACGGCGATGCGGGGCCTGCGCGGTGGTGCGCATGTGCTCACGTGGGCAAGCCAGCGCTGCGGTGACGAGCCGAGGCATGGTGACCCTGCGCCCAGTCGGACACCGACCGGAAAACGTGCCATGCATGATTTTTAAAGCGCCCCAAAAATCAAATTCATTACTTCAAACGTCGAACCACCTATTCTATAGTGAAGAGGGCATGTTAGGCTATTAAAACCAGCTATGAAACCACACCACTAATTAATCCAATTCACCTACAAAAATTGCCAAACTTGGCCTCGTCAAATCGTTTTCCGACTTAGGAAATTCGACTAAGTCTTGATCGAATTCGCGTCAAATTCAATTTCCAAGCTATTAATCATGCTAGCTAGTGAATTCGTTTCTCGGTCGTAGGTATTTCATCGTCACCTACATGGTTTGTACTTCTAACTTTACTAAAATTCCGTATCTACATTCTATAGCATTTTCGCTTAATAAAAATTGATTTAAAACCCTAAGTAATATAACTTGACTATGAAATGTAACTTTCGTTTCACGTTTCCGTTAGTCGTTTCGAGTTACAGAAATTGATTTACACACTATTTTACATACACTATCACATAAACATGATGCACATGCAGTGTTTTAGCAAACATTTACAGTGTAACACCGAGGGTGTTACAACAATTGGATAATTTGTGTAAGAACCAAAGATTGCAGCGGAAATGGAGGCCCTAACCTCCTCGTGTCCTCTGGGATTCGATTTGTGAGTTGTTCTTGTGAATCGTGTTTGTGTTCTTCGCGTTCTTCCTTTCCCCTTCTCTTGTGTGGTTCGATTCGTCGTTTTGAGACCGTTTTGATTCGTTCCTTTTGCATTGAGATGAACTAGGACATGAGTTGAGCCTTTCCACCGAGGGATTTCATCTAATTCCTCGCGAGTCCATAGATCAGGGCGAATCAAGATCTAGGGTTGAAAAACCGGTGTTTTTCGTGTTCATCTAATTTCCCGTTGATTGGCTTTAAATTGGGCGATGATCTCCTGGAGGTAGCTCACCTATTGCCTTGTGACCATGTGGTTAAAATTTGAGGGTAATTGGTTTTGATTTGGTCATAAATCGGGATTTTCCTTGCTCCGGACGTTTTTCGGGCGACTCTATTCGTGTTGATTTCGCGACTCGCGGACAGTCCGCCCCTGGCCCTCGGATAGTCCGCCGTTGCTGTTCACATCACGAGCAGAAGGTCTTCTTTTGGTCGTGTTATGCTGCTCTGAACGCCGGACAGTCCGGGGCTGCTGCTGAAGCGTGTCCAGAAGCAAGTTCGTTTTCTGGTGTTTGACTTATGGACAGTCCGGAATTCAACCGCGGACAGTCCACCGTTCTTCTTTCTGCCCAGGTCAGAACTGTTTCTCATCGTTTAGTTTTCGGGAGTTGAACGCCGAACAGTTCGGCCCTCAACCCCAAACAGTCCGGGACCTGACCCATGAACAGTTCGGACTCCCTACAGCAGACAATCCGGGCCTGTGCAGATTGTGCTATTTTCTCTCATTTTTTCGAGCACTTATTTCCGTCTGTTCTCGGTTGATCCGCTGTACCTCTTGGTCATCGCCAAAGGTATCCAGCCACCCGTTGGCTTGTGATCAAACCATTCTCTGGTGCCTTTGCTCTTGGGTCATGATTTTAGAACATCGGCTTAAAGTTTCGAAAGAAATTTGAAGCTCCGATTCATCCTCTCTTTGGTCGCCGTTTTCGATCCTTCAGGGAGCCTATATCTAGTATATCTTCATGATCTTGCCTCCAAAGCAGTGATCGGAGAGAGAGTCTAAAGTGCGGCTTCCACTATTAACCCTGGCACGCCATGGCCAGCTTTAGTGCACGCCATGGCCAGCTTTAGTTCCCAGACTCGAGAGAGCAGAGGGCAGCAATCGCTGGCTTTAGGACACCCGCAGCACTGCAGCAGCACGAATGGGTGCCGTAATCCTTGCACGATTAATTTATGAACCGTGAATGCTGTCCTTCAAAAAAGAATTAATGTGCATGCACCACTGCGCCCCTGGCAAGTGGCATTGTCACCTACTCACGTCTCTTCCAGGGAGTGGACATTCCACCAGTACAGAACATGATTGTCCTGTTCGCTTGGCTGATAAGCCATGACTGAAAGTATTGTTGGCTGATTTATCGAGAAAGAAAAATACTATTCATTGACTGAAAAAATACTACTTATAAGCATAGCGATAAGAGGCCAGTCTACGTAGCGCGGAGGGGGACTGAATTTGCTGAAAATCTGGGTCTATACCATGGGCTTCGTGCAGTGGCTTTGTGCTGCATGCCCCGGCACAAGCAGCCCTCAGTCCCAAAAAAAAAAGAGTAAAGCATGCATTTAGCTAGGCTCGTTTTTTTTTTTAAGTTGTTGTTGCCCAATCCTCTAGGTTGTTGCTGTTATGTTGTCTAAGTATCTAAAGAGATTACAATAGTTAACAATGACAGTCATGCATGCAGGACGTGACGGGGAAAAGCCTATTACACACAGATGGAGCCAAAGGAATCATAGAATGCAGTCAGGTTTTGACAACCCCGTTTTTCTGTATGGAGATCAGGAGATGGCTGAGCAGAAATTTTTAGTAGGTGACAGGGTGAGCAAGCCGGAAAGTTGGACGCTGAACTGAAATTGAATAATTGATCCATCGACTCTGAATCCAAGACTCCATGCGGCACGGGAGAAGGGCGCGTGCGTGCATTGGAACAGTTCCCATTCATAAGCTGGTGTTGACTGATTCCACGCGGCACGGGCCAACAGCGTCCGGGCAGTTGGTTTCCGGAAACATCGAATATTATCTTGTATAATTAGTAAACTTAGGAGGTGTTTGGTTCGTCAAATTTCGACCCGTAACGATTCACTCTGCTATCGCATCACGTAGAATTTGTTTGGTTGCGCCACTCCGGAATCAATAACCAAGGGAAGGGATACGGGCTAGTGAAAAATGATACCGCCCACCTTCTGGGGTCATTCGATTATTACTCCACCGGAAGCTAACCAAACAAATATTGTTTTCTGTTGCAATGTAATGGATAGCAGTGTTTCCTGATTTCGTCACCGTTGCCAGTGCTATATCTAAACAAAATAGCTCCTTAGTGGATATGCAGGCACATGGTCGATATGTCCGAGTGGTTAAGGAGACAGACTCGAAATCTGTTGGGCTTTGCCTGCGCAGGTTCGAATCCTGCTGTCGACGCAATATTTTATTTTCGTTCATCTTTTTTGGTTCCGATCCGGCGCCACACTAGCCCAGGACCGTAGCACCAGTTCACCTGAGTGGCGCAGCACATTTCTGGAAGCCCAAGCAAATAATTCCAGCCTCGCGCCCCGTCCGTGTCTGTGGGCCTAATAGTGGCTTGGGCCCATTTTCTGAGTCCTACACACCCGTCAGCCCAGTTTTGCACACTACTTCGTAACCGGAGCTCAATTCCATGGTCTCGGCATTGTTTATTTTGGCCTCAGCTATATCATGCTTTGGCTTCCTTTTTCTTTATACAAAATGCCTCAAGGTACAATTTCTTTCTTATACAATGCAAACCTCAGGCAGGTTACATCCGAAGATTTCAGTAAGTTGGTCGGCACTTATATACTGTTTAAAACAATTTTGTTTCTGTTTTTGTTGAAATTGTTGGCATTGTTGTTTTCATTCGCTGCCATTCAAATTTCTGGTCCATGATGATTTAATGTTTGATGCAGCCTGCCGCCTTGCGTACATACTGAAGCCTAATTAGCATTTATAACTGGCCTCTTCCATTTTATATACATCTTGATTGGCTTATTTCCTACCCCTGCTTAGCCTCTGCCTCCCAAGTACAACCTGTGTGTTTCGTTTGCTAGGTATCCATGGTCTGTTCTGTGTCGCCACCAGCAAGGTAACTCTCATATTGTCTAGAAGAACATGAACCAAACAGACCTTCAATTTGTTTTATGCAATTCTGATTGGCATCTACAGGTGAGACCGAGTAGATCGATCGACTCCAATCAAACAGATCGTTCTGGCTGTTGCTTATAACCAACAGATTTTCCGTAGCTGAGATACCGCATTAAAATGCTAAAAAAACAATGCTACTGCCTCTTGGCCATATTTCATGACTGTACAGACAACATTACTCTATTAATGTCAATTATGTGATAACAGTTATAATTATTTTTCAATACAAATCTAATGACATCAATTTTATATTTTAGAAAATTATGTATTAAATAAAAAAAATGCCGATCACTTGTTCCAATGAAACAAAATACACCTAATTTCAATCGGATTGAGTACATCACAAGCACCACAAACAGGCAAACCACAAACGACTGGGCAGCAGTTGACATGGAATGATTAACAAAGAACAGAAGCAGAATACCAGCCCTTAATGATTTGTAGTGCATCAGCTCACTCTCCAGATGACAACAATTAAAACAAGAATTAAGATATCCAAATCGTTCACATCACTCCTTGGCTCACACTTGAATTTTTTTCTAATCTCCTAGCAAGGCCCAAGAACCAAGCACAAAATTAAACTCAGGTCTTAAAGGTAGTGTAGAACACAAGTTCCAGATACTGATGCACTGTATCTAGTGCGATTTGACGTACTCCTGCACTATGTTAAGGCCCTCAGATTCTTCGCCGTAGTCCTGATGATCCAAATGAAGCAGCCAAAAATCACTTTTTGCCTATATAATCCAAACTCCAAAGTAATTGGTTGTAGTAGTACAGTAGGAAATCAATAGTTACCTTGACGACAACACAGGAGCAGCCTACAACCTTCCTTGCCTTGCCCTCAGAATCAATCTTGCAAAGCTATATGGGATCGTAGATGAAGGTTGTTAGATTAATATGCTCAGCAAACTTGAATGTTAATTCACAGTAATAACTAAAACAGAATATAATCGCATATGACAACTCCAAAACCATATTACTTTCTCTTCTCTCAACATTAGGCAGAACAATGTAAACCATATTAATTTTGCTAGGACCATCTAGATACTGACACAAAGTAAAACAAGGACCATTTTTAAGGAAGCATTCTTTAACTCACCCCAGCCCATTCGCCAAGAGTTTTAGCGCTAGGCACCGTAACCAGGTGAACATTGTGCTCAGAGCAGAGAGCCTTGACCAGCTTGACATAATCAGGCTGGTCACAGTCCTCGGCAAGCACGCAAAGCTGAGCAGCATGCTTCTCGATGGCTTTGGCAGCCTCACGAAGACCCTTAACAAGGCCGTCATGAGCACCTGACTTCTTCATGACAAGCTGCAGAGCAGTCATCAAGTCCATCGGCTCCCCAAGGACTGGGGTAGGTGCCTCAACTGCAACTGGGGTCTCCTGATCCCTGCAAAGTCATGGTGAATTGATGAGCTTCCAGTATCGTGGTAGTCACCAAACAATCCATGTCACAATTAGTGAATCACTAATTCAGTAACCAAACTAAGACCCAACAGGATTTACCATGAGTATGCTCTATATAATTACTCTTATATAATATAGAGACCCATCTGGGTTTGCCTTCTTGTGTAGTGGCAGCAATCCCAGATCAAAATCATGGTAAATCCTGTTAGATCGCCTCCCTTTGTTGTAGCAGCAACCCCAATCTATCATGGTAAATTCGCCACCCTTTATTGTAGCAGCAATCCCAATCTATATGAATATATAATTCTCTATACACAGAAAAAGCGTAATGGCTGCTTCATTGCAACTCTGAGATCAGCCAACCTTGCAACTCTGTCAGTCCATCAGCTCACTCTCCACCTGAAGCCCGAACAGCACGCTACCCAAGCCCTAGCCTCCGGCACCAACCGCTCCAGATAGCAGCCGGCGCTGCCACCGCGTCTCCTCTCCTCTCCTCTCTTCGGCCACCATACCCCTCTACCAACTCAGCTCCTCTGAGCCGGACTACGCCGCTGTCAACGAAAAACCTGGTCGGAGTGGAATCGACCCAGATAAAGTGGAATCCAGCGGACAACGGCGGCTACGCAAGGCGATGCGGCATCGATTTGACAATGTGGGCAAAACGCTCAACGTAAACATGTCGCAACAAGAAAGACTACCACAAAAGGCAAAGATTTCGATGGGAGAACTTACGCCATCTCCCGCGCTCGAGGACCCGGCCGATTGCGAGGGGAATACCTGCAGAAAGCAAGCAAGCAAACGGAATGAACGTCAGTGGCAATTTGCGAGGGAGGCTAGGAAGAAGAAAGGGTAGGGGATGGGGAGGAGGCCGCCGCCACCACCTCGAGGGGGTCCGAGAGCAGAGGGAGTGCCGAGCCGCTAGGGTTTCCGCGTGGGGGGGAGGAGACGGCCGGGAGTTTTTGGACTTTTGGTGGACATATTTCAGGCGGGCCTTCTGGGCCTCAGTGGATATAATGTTTAGTAGGCCGAGCCAGCCACAGCCGCTTATGCGGACCGCGCTGAGCAGCCACCGGCCTCATACGCGAAGGCATCGCACGGAAAACTACAGATGGGCTAAAGCTTCCCCATTTTTTCACACGAAAAAAAAAAAAACACACAACTGAGCAAACGATCGGTCAATGCTGAAGCAAACAAGCTGACTACAGATGGGCTAAAGCTGAATTGTGATTAACCGAGGGTGAGCACTGAGCAGTGCGGTGAACTGTGCACATGGGCCAGCTCGCCCGTACTGGACCGCGCGCGTTCCTGCAAATGCTGGCACCAGCTCCACGTTGTTGGCCTGCGAAACACACGGGATCCGGCGCTGCCGGATCGGCGAGATTTGGCCCTCGCCTGCTCCAACGATCTGCACGGTGCGCGATCAACACAGTTCCGTGATGCGCTCGGCTACTGCTTCTGCTGCAGCGCCATCGCCTGCTTGGATTGAGTCGTTGGGCCGGTCAGCCGGACGTGTGATCCGACAGAACGTGCCAAGTTCTCTCTGCTGTACAGATCGCAATAACTTGGAGAGAGCCCATATCGGTGTTGGTTTATTTTTTAGCTTTTTTTTTTTAAAGTTTTTCACAAATACGTCTGTGGAGGAAAGATTTCAGAATCTGGACTCTTAGCTCGGCGTCAACGCTTACACTGCTCGGCGCCATCGTTGCTGGCGCCGAGAACTTGGACTCGACACAGACGTGACGATGACTTAGCAGACAGCTCGGCGCCGTAGATGCTGGCGCCGAGCTCGACACCGTTGACGCTGACGAGCACCGTGCACTCGTGCTGCCATTCACCACCGTGCAGCATGGAGTGCAGATGCTGGTAGCGTGAAAAGGGTCACGTTACCTAGCTACTGGCAATGCGTGCACGGTGAGGCACGGAGACTTGCCCGCACTGCACCACACGTGAAAATCACATCAGCTAGCGAATTGGTTGGAGCTATCTAGCCTACCCGTACGATGTGGTTGATTGGTTTCGGCATCTGTCAGTTTCTTTGTTTCCCTTCCTGCTGGCTCCGTTGCATTAAAAGTCTCATTTTTTACTTTCATATTTACTGTTTATCTTATTTAATTTTTTATACAAATAATAAAATAAATAAATCATTATTAAAGTATCTTCAATGATAAAATAAATTATAACAATTTAAATAATATTTATACAAAAATTTTGAATAAAACAAATGGAAGTATAAAAGTCAAAAATGCCACTTTCAATTGGACGAAGGGAGTATCATCCTATGGCAGGCCCAATAGACAGTACTATGTATCATTAGCAGTAACCTAGTACAACTCTCAATAGTGTTACGACCTTGACATAAACTGCAACAGTTTAGAACTGTTTTCACGTATACTCTACCCGTCCACAAATCAAGTTTACAGTGAATATTATTCACATGTATATCTTTAAATTGTTTTTTTCATAACGAATCTAATAATATTTATTTTATATTATTTTTTATAAATTTGGTTAAATTTCAAAGTACATAGTAGACACAACATAATAAATAATTAATTACTGTGATAGCTTGCATGTAATGACGTGATATCATGTACTTGTAAAGATTATTTCTTTCCATTGATTTAATACTACTTCTGTGAAGTGGCTGCTTTAGATATCGAAGTATGATACTGTAGATCGGTTTAGTGCTTCACAATGGCAATACTTTTTTTTGCGAAAGATCACAATGGCAATACTACTGTGCTTTCCATTCTAAATAATAAGATGTTTAGTTTTTCTAGATATATATAATTTTTACTATGTATTTAAATATACACTATGTTTAGATATATAATAATTATTATGATTTATTTTATCATTGGAGATAGTTTAATAATGATTTATTTATTTTATTATTTGTATAAAAAAATTAAATAAGATAAACAGTAAGCATGAAAGAAAAAACGAGACTTTTAATGCAACTGAGTGAGTAGGAAGGGAAACAAAGAAACTGACAGATGCCGAAGCCAATCAATCACATCGTACCAGTAGGCTAGCTAGCTCCAACCAATTCGCTAGCTGATGTGATTTCCACGTGTCGTGCAGCACGGGCAAGTCTTCGTGTCTGACCGTGCACACATTGTCAGTAGCTAGGCGACGTGACTCTTTTTTAGGCTACCAGCATCTGCACTCCACGCTGCACGTGCTCAGCGCCAGCGTCAACGGCGCCGAGCTCGGTGCCAGCATCTACAGCGTTGATCTTGGCGTCAGGATCTATGACGCCGAGCTGCCTGCCAAGTCATTATCACGTCTGCGTCGAGCCCAAGACCTCGGCGCCAGCGACGATGACGTCAAGCTAAGGGTCCAGATTCTAAAATATTTCCTCCAAGAACATATTTGTAAAAAACTTTCAAACAAAAGGGCTAAAAAAAATTCGAGCGGGGGTACCGACCGGGTACAACGAAGATTAATTGGCCAATCAAGAGGCCTTGCTGCATTCGTGTCTTCGGATACCACTGCTCTCTTTCGAGGCAGAAAACGATCAGTGCAGCTCCAGCGAAACGAAAACGCGGTACGTGTGGTGTCGTGACGAAGATTTCATTGCATTGGACGCGCGTAACCGAACTGCACAATAATCATTACGACCCGAAACACGCCTGTTGGCCCACGCGAAATTATATTTGTCCAAATTAGAAAACTTCGGGCCTGTTCGGCTGATATTAAAGCCGGCTGATAAACAGACTTAAGCTGTTTTGTTGTGAGAGAAAAATACTTTAAATTCTAATCGATAAGTCGACTGATAAGTTCAAACGAGACATTTGACGCTAGGTTGTCACTGTACAGACTACGACGGCAGGAAATCGAATCTCGCCCTTATCTTGAGTCGTCCACAGCTCTAGCTACGGTCTACTTTGCCGGACCAAGCCACAGCCCAATCATAATCAATGTCTACTTCAGCAGTATTTTTTAGCGAACGAACAATGTTTTTCTCTCCCAACGAATCAGGACAATGCCGTCTCACTTGGGCTAGCTACTCACAGACAGGTAGCTGAGCGCGACCGGACATAGACGCATGGTTATCTGTCCGTCAATACTAGATGAGATATGTTCATTCAAAACAACTTGTGAACAACCAAAGGATCTGGGGTTAGCGACGTACTGTACGCCGTCACAGATCGGAGCTGGTTTATTCGGAGTCGACAGCCCGAAAGAAGTGCATCGATGCAGCCTAGCTTTGTCAGTTATTGTCACGGATATGTCGCCGTCGTTAGCTAGAGACGGTACGGTGAGAGACATACACCAAATCAGACCCCAACGACCCTGCCCAAGCAACCAACATGCATTGTTGCCTCGTTTACGACTAATCAATTCAAACCGTCTCTCTAGGAGTTCAATTTGCCTAGTACAGTACTCCGTAGATGTTAGCCGCCGTTGGTTCTGATGTCGTGTCGTGTCGTGTCGTGTCGTGTCGTCCAGGCCATTTCTAATTAAAGGGGGATGCGTACGGATAAGAGAGCAGGGTGTGATGTGTGTACGTGCACGGTGCACCAAACGGCCTGAACGAACTACCGTACTGTACTACTAGCTAGGTCGGCCGGACCCAGATGGATCCGCTCGGAATTAAAAGAACCACCGTTAGGCTAGATCTTATCTTATTTATCCTGTCCGCTTAATCGTATCAGATATGATATAGTATTTTTCTTTTATAATAAAATAGTATTAACCGGTTTATAACCTACGAAAACAATTAAGCGAACAGGTGATTGTATGCACGTGCGACACCAGCAGAAGTATGCTTACTTCTGAGCTAACAGAGTAGCTCGATCGATCATAATAATATACGTACAGTAGTGCCAGTATATCGATCGTCAGACGTGCAGAGAACGAAGACGCAAGATCGAACTGACTGCTGACAGAGCAACCAAGCATATGACGCCTTATTTAGATGAGTGTTAGGAATCAGAATTTGACACTGTAGTACTTTTGTTTATATTTGATAATTATTATTTAATTATGGCCTAACTAGGCTCAAAAGATTCGTCTCGTAATTTACAATTAAATTTTGTAATTAGTTATTTTTTTATCTACATTTAATATTCCATACATATGTCCAAATATTTGATGTAATGGAGAAAGATTAAAAAAACTTGACTAAACAAGGCCTAGCTAAAGAAACCAGGCAGGATGGACCCATCGGATCGGAGCGACTTGTTCCGTACACCATCAGACGTACGTTTAAAATATTGGTTCCGTTCGCGTGACTTTAAACCTGGTTCGATTCACTTCTTTTTTCATTCAGAACAGTATTTTTTCCTCACAAATTCTTTCAACATTTCTTCAAACTATTTAAATTTCTCCAAAATTTCTCCAAACGAACAGGCCCATCATTAGAGCTGGCTAGCTGATCGAGATGATGACGTAGCATGCAGCAGCATAGAGCACGATAGGGCGTTAGGCACATGCATGGATTGTTTATTTTAATCTTTAATGTCTCGTTGAATTCAGCCGCCGCTTACCTGATAGGAATAGCGCTTACCTGATAGGAATAGCGCTGATTGTTGTTGTTTTTATCTGTTTTCCAGCCAAACTTAATTTGGCGCTGGCATTTGAATTTTGCGTGCATGTTAGTTGGGTAGGTGGTAGTAAACGTACGTACTAGACCATCCCATCCAAGAGCGGAGCTCGTACGTCGTCCCCTTGCGTTTACCGCGAGACGGAGCATTTCGTTGAACGTGTTTCAGAACCAAATAATTTGGCA